GTCCCATTTTGCAAATGAGGGAAGAGGAATAGAAAGGTTGTGACTTGCCCCAAGTTTCACAATTAATAAATGTCAGAATCAGATTTTGAATACAGGGCTTCTGACAAGTTCAGTGCATTTAGTATTATGCCACACTGGTTTCCAAACAATCAAAACACAAAGTTTTACAAAGTGTGCCCAATCTTAAGTACTCTTGACTAAGTCCCTAATAGCAAAGACAAGTAAGTAATTGAGGGAATTAAAACTCACATAGAGGAAAGAGAATTTCCAGCTTTGATAATTCCCTAAACTTGCTGACTGATTTTGCCAGGAGAGTTTGCCAGTGTGGCATAGGGAATAGAATACCAGGCATGGAGTTAGAAGATCTGGTTTGACTCCCATTTCAGACACTCACTAGGTGGATGATCATGGGCAAAGTCTCTTCCCTCTCAGAGCCTCAGTTTTTTTTCATCTGTAAAAATGAAAGAGTAATACTTACACTACCTACCTTGGGTTGCTGTGAGGCAAACACTTTGCAAAATTTAAAGTGCTTTATAAATGTGTGGTATTATCATCTCCCTCAGGAGTTCCTGCCCACACTCTCAGTGTATCCACAGAGGCAATATGAAGTAGACAATTGAGGGAATTATCCAAGCATTATGATATATGCAAACTGTTCCTGAGGGAGTGACAGATTAATAACCTACATTGAACAAAACTAGTAGACAATTGCTTAGTTTTCTATATCATAGCATCATTGAATTTTAGAGCTGGAAGGGGCCTTAAGAAGTCATTTTACATATGAGGAAATGGAGGCTCAGATTGCTTAAAAGCCTTACCTAAAGTCATATAGACCCTGAGTAACAGACCCCAATTCTCTTAATTCCTAGTTCAGTCCAGCGGTTTTTTTCATCACATCTCAATGTTCCTCAGAAATTGCCTGTGTAGACAAAGGTTTAATCCCTACAGAGTTGGTAGGAATGTTAGTCTTTCTGATATTGTAAGTGAAACCATTTTTTCCCAGTAGCAAAGATTTCCTTACTTAATAAATTTCCTGCCTTTTTGAGAGGCAGCCTGGTGTAGTAGATGGCATACTACACTTGGAATCAGAAAGACCTTTTGGAGCCTCAATTTCTTCAGCTTTAAAAGGGGGGAAATATCCATAGTATATATCTCCTGGAGCAGTTATGAGACCCAAATGGGATAATATATGTAAAATCCAAGCTTCCAGTAGCCATATGAAAAATGCTCCAAATCACTAGAAGAGAAATGCAAACTAAAATAACCCTGGGATTCTACCTTATATTCATTAGATTTGCAAAGTTGACCAAAAAGGAAAATGACAAATGTTGGAGGGAGTATATTTGAGGGAGAGGTGTGGGGAGGGGAGAAGTGGGAGAGACAGGAACATTGATCCACTGTTGATGGAGCTGTGAATTAGTCCAGCCATTCTGGAAAGTAATTTGGAACTATGTCCCCAAATTTACTCATCTGTACCCCTTTGACCCAGGGGTACCACTACTAGGTCTATATCCCAGAGAGACCAAGAAAGAAGTAAAGGACTCATATGTACAAAAATATTTATAGCAGCTCTTTTTGTGGTGGCAAAGTACTGGAAACTAAGAGGGTACATATCAATGGCTAAATAAATTATGGCATATGAATGAAATGAAATGCTGTTGTGCTGTAAGAAATAAAGAAAAAGAGAAACAATTCAACAAACAGTTTTGAAAGACCTAAGAACTTTGATCAACACAATGACCAGTCATGATTTCAGAGGACTCATGATGAAACATATTACTCACCTCCTGACAGAGGTAGGCGAAGGACTAATATGCAGAATAAGACATACATTTTTGGCATGGCCAATGTGGAAATTTGTTTTGCTTGACATATTTATTACAAGGGTTTTGTTTTTCTTTTCTTTTTTTTATTCCCTGAAAATGGGAAGGTAAAGGTGGGAGGAGGGAAAAAATAAAACATTAAAAGATAAATTTATTTTTCTCTCTCCTCCCCTTTACTGAAAAAAAAAACAAGGATAAAACCCTTATAACAAATATATATTTATATACATCTAATGAAAAAGAAACTTGAGAAGACTTATATGAACAGATGCAAACTGAAGTGAGAAGAATTAGAACAATTTATACATTGTAGAGACAACATTGTAAAGACAAATAACTGAAAGACTTAAGAACTCTGATCAGTGCAATGACTAATCACAATTCCAGAAGACCATGAGGAAATATGCTGACACAGAGAGGATGGATTCAGGGTGTAGACTGAGACATATATTTTCTAAGACATGGCCAATGTGGGTATTTGTTTTGTTTGACTATACATATATTACAATGATGGCATTTTTTCTTTTCTTTTCTTTCCTTTTTTCCAGTGGTGGAGGGAAGTAAGTCAGAGAGAAAATGGATTCTTATTAATCAAAAAAATTTTTAATTTAATTTAGAAAGATAGCATATGTAAAGCTTTGTAGGCAGCTAGGTACATCAGTGGATAGAGCTCTAGGCCAGGAAAACTCATCTTCCTGAGTTCAAATCCGGTCTCAGACACTTACTTACTAGCTGTGTGATCCTGGGCAAGTCATTTAACCCTGTTTACCTCAGTTTCTCATCTGTAAAATGAGCTGGAGAAGGAAACGGCAAACCACTCTAATATCTTTGCCAAAAAAAACCCAAATAGGTCATGAAAAGTCAGACACAAATGAAAACTGACTGAACAACAACAACAAAAGCTTTGTAAATTTTTAAATGGTAAATAAATATTAGCTTTTTTCTGTTTGACAGTGGGCCATCCTTTATCCCCTTTATCAATCTTATGAAATAGAAAAGGTCTGCTTTCTAATCAAAACTCTATCTATCTATCTATCTATCTATCTATGTGTGTGTATATAAAAACATGTTTACCTGCATATACCTAAACAGGCCTATCTATACCTGAATATATCTACATGCTTATATATAAATCTACATTTACCTAAACACCTTTATCAACTAACACCTGAATTCAGTCAATTCAATAAGCTCTTCTTAAGTGCAAGCATTCTGCTAAACTGAAGATGCAAAAAACAAAACAGAAAACAAGAACAAAAAAAGACAGTCTCTGCCCTAGAGGAGCTTACATATATTTACAGATGATCCCCAGCTCTGGAGTGAGGGAGATTTTACAATGGGATTCCTTGAAACTGCACCAAAAATGCCATTCTGTTGTTGCCTAGGAATACAGTAGTAATGTCCTCAAGCTACTTTTGCATTGTACCTAGAATAGTACCCTTCTAATTCCTCAGAGAAGGTTGCATTAGACAGGGACTGTGTTTAGGTTACTGCCCACACAAGGAAACTGCCCACACAATGTAACTATCATTTTTCCATGAATGAGGTTGTACGACAGTAGAAAATTCACCCTATCAATATCAATTTTTCGTATAGCAACACCTACACACGTTTTTCTCTCTCTTCATTTACCTGCTTTGCTAAAAAATGAGCTAGCATGAAATGTACTCTGAAGAAAGGCAGAGCTGATGGATGGCTCTTTCACCTCTTTGTAGGTTCATTTCACCCTAAGCAAGGTCAGCCAAGAACCAGATGAATTAGTATGCTAATGCCCTTGTCTCCCACTATCCAAGGTCTTGTGGGAATTTTCTCCTCAAAATCTGCCTCTGAGCAGATTAAGTGTTTTCTTAAATTAGAGTAGGAGATAAATTACTGTTTCAGGAAAGAGTAAATTTTAACTTTCCTTAAGGCTCAATTCTAAGACATTCTTAAATCAACAAGACTTTTTTCTCCCATTAAATAAAGCCCAAGCATCAATAGTCTTTAGTTCTTTTGTCTGCAAAAGTTCTGCTATCAGCCATAATAAACACAGTTTGGTATGTCTTCATTTACCATTAGTATTGCAGCAATGAAAATAATTTGGTACTTAACTCATTATACGACGGTATATAGTGTTTCTGTGAATTGAGAAAAACAAGAAAAGAGTTTTTTTAATTTTCTTCAGTCTATCAACCTGAAGGTAGGCTTTGCAAAGATTTAAACATTACACACAACAGAATGTCATTCATCTCTCCATATACAAAGCACAGTAAAACAAAATGCACCAAAGTAAATGTAACAGGATGGATTCTGACTACTTTAGTCTGTACAACATTTAAATATTTGACAACCAGACAGAGAAAAACTTTTCGTGAAAGATTTACTGTAAGGTTAAGGAAGGATACTTACAAAGTCAATGTTGCCCACATACCTAGAAATTAGTAAGCATAAATACTTAGACAAATCTGATTGGGAATCCCATAAATAACAGTTTGCTAATTTTAGGAATTTCTGGGTGGAGGAAGAGACATAAGATTCTGGGTATAGTGTTAATCATTTCAAATGTTTTTTCACGTCATAAAAGTTTCAAATTGTAAGAAGAAATTAGCAAAGACTAAATATATTGGTGATGTCTCTCTAAGGATGCTTGGTGATCACTATTGCCATGAGCAGATCAAAGTTTATTACTATTAGTTATCAAATGACTTATGAATTTCACAATTCTGTGAATGGCTCTTAACAAAAGAAGTATGCATGTTTGACCAGATTATTTTAGGAATAAAGGAAATATCATGCATAGCTTATTCCCATGCTTAATAACAGCATTCTGTTTTTTACAAATCTACCAAAATCCAGAAGTATATTAATAAGTAGGTGCAGTAATGAATATAGAGAGATTTCTTAATTTTGTTCTCCATCCTGAAAAGGTTACTCTGTGCCATTTGCTTTCCTGTATCCTGACATAGGCATATGGATAAATTACCTAGCAGTGTATTGTTTTCCTTCCTTTTTTTTTTTTTCTAAAGCAGTATACTTTCAAAGGAAGACCACATAGTCACCGGATTTGGCTTTTTACTTGAGCGTTCTAATTCCAAAGTTGTTCTGAGTTCTTTTACTGAAGGAAGAGAGAATGGTACACTGCTCACTCAGTCAGGAGCCCATTGATTGCTGTCTTCACACTTGTCTTACTGTATGGAACTAAACTGTGATTACCTTCTTTTCCATGGTTAAGTAGACAACAAGTATCAAGGTGAAAATGAGCAATACAGCAATTATAAAGGCAACTGAAATCACGCCCATTTTCTTTTCTACAATTTTCACATCTTCCAACATTGTTCGTGAAGCCTCTCTTTTGGTTTTTAATGGTCTTCTTATGGTAATCCTGTGAAAATGTTGGTGGATCTCTGTGATATGTGTCTATTTATCTATCTATCTATCTAAATACATGGCTACTACACAAACACCTTCTACAAAGCTTTGGGACTAGACGTTGAAGGGTCCTTCACACCTACAAGTGTGGGTCCTTCAGTGGTAGCTTTCTACTTAATATTTCTACTAATTCAAGGGTGTTATCAGAGATAGCTAAGATTCCCTAAAACATATCATCTGTACACAGCGCTCACCTTACCTAAATTCTGCAAGCTAATATCTATAGATGTTGATAATCTGTCACTCAATGTGTTGACAGTTTATTATATTTATATATATTTATATAATATATTTATATTTATAATTATATGATATATATTTATATTATATTTATTATATTTCCCCATGGGAAAATTACAAAAGCCAGTGAAATATCTTGGAAAGGAAAGCCCTTCATTTTCTCTTTAATTGGCAAAAAATGAAATAAAATAAATCTGTCCAAATAACCTTCTGCATTGCAATTAGGAATGGGTTGGGGACTTTGTGCCTGCTTATTTTACAGTTTACAAAGGGCTGGTAGTCTTTTCTAAACATTTTCCTTAGGGTTCTATATTTTTAGTTATATCAGTGCCTACCTCCAGTATGGGCATGTGCTGGTAAAAATCCAACATATAGGTTTTCTTGGCCAAAGAATTCATCTTCTATTGATAATCTTCTGCTGCTTACAATGTTTGTAGTTAGGTAGGCCAATCCTTAGCAGATAAAACCTTTGGCATAGGGATACTAAAAGCTTTTCAAGCTTTATGGACCCTACCAGACACTGTACTCTGCTGGGATAGCCTTCGAGTACCTATGATGACCTGCATCATTCTGCAGTGAGACACAGGAGACATAAAGCTACATACATCCAAGATGCCTTACACATTTTGTTCAGAAATCAAGGAACCATAAAACTTTGCTGTACATAAGACTCAAGGCTGGAAAAATGAGTCAAGCTGAGCTTTCTATTAAGTTGACCACTTCCATTTTCCCATCTTCAAGGACAGGAAGAAGAATATGCAGTAATTCAAAAGTACTGGGTTCTAGTCTCAGCTGTACCATTTATTAAGTAATGATCTTAGGGCAAATCATTTTTAATTAATTCAGTTTTAAAAACTATAAACTCATCAGCCCTTGGGGACTCTGTCCCAAAAAAGGATGCTCCATTGTCTCAGGCTATTTCCTTAATAACAGAGTAGGATGAAAGGACAAAAGAGGAAATAAAGACTTGATTATTATATTAGTTGGGGTTAGGGAGTCAGGGTAGGGGTATGGCTGCTTCTGGAATACTGTGACTATATGAATTTAAGGATGAAAATTCTGGACATCTGGGCTATCTTCCTTCGCTAGTTCTGTTTTAGGGAGGCACCTTTAGCATCTCAGATTGAAATTGGAGGTGCTAACAGTAAGTGACACTTATCTCACCTTCCAACCTCTCTTTCATGGATCCAAGGATCTGATTAACTCTGGGGACATTAGAAACCGGCAATAAGAGGGACATGATAGAAAAAATTTAATTCATCCTATATTTCCTACATATAGTTCTTTCCTGCATTTCAAAAAAGTACCTTATTCCTCTGTGAGTGCTGGGATCAGAATAATAGATGTCAATATCACCATCCACAGAATAAACTGAAGATAACTAAAAGAGAGAGAGTTTTATGAGGTCTATGGTTTTCTTTCTATGTCCTCTAAATAGGACCTTATTTTCCTTTCCAAAAACTGCTATTCTTCAACCTTCCAAAAATTGCTGCCATTTGCCACAAGCTCCCTCTTCTCTCCTTATCATGTCAGTTCCCCCTGACATCACCTCTCACTGTCTCGTCCTAAGTTCCAGTCTTCAGTGAAGAGGAAGCCCTTTTCTTTGCCAAGGTCTACCACTTTCCCTATACTCTTTGTCCTATCCCTTCCCATCTTTTCCATCAGATTGCCCCCACCATCAACCTTGACCCTAATCTTCAATCTCTCCTTAACTACAGTCCTTCCCTGCTGCCTTCACACATGTCTAAGTCTCCCCCGACCTTAAAAAAGCCTTCTTGAGAACTTACCATCTTCATCACCTAATATCTCTCCTCTTCTAAATTAAACTCCTTGAAAAAGCCATTTACACTCAGTGCCTCTACTTTTCTATTTTCACTCTCTTCAAAACCCTCTGCAATTCTGCTTCTGACCTCATCAACTAATTGAAAATGCTCTCTCCAAAGCTACCAAAGACCTTTAAATGGACAGATCTCATGGTCCTTCCTCTGTCCTCTCCTAGCATCTGACTCTGTGGACCATCTTTTCTTGGATACTCCCTCCTCTCTGGGCTCTCGTGCCGCTGCTCTCTCTTCATTGTCTTTTGGCCTGCTGACTGATCTTTCTTGTTTTCTGGCTCTTCGTGCATGTCAAACACACCTGCTGACTAAGGATGTCCCCTAAAGCTCTGACCTCTTCTCTTGCCTCTCTATACTCTTCCACTTTGTGATTACCAGCTATATACTGGACATTATGAACTGGATGTCCTATAGGCATCTCAAACTCAATATTTCTAGAATAAAACTCATTATCTTTACCTCCAAACCCATTCCTCTTTCAAACTTCCCAATTATTATTGATAGCTCCATCATGCCTATAGTCACCCAGGTTCACAATCTTGATGTTATCCTCAATATCATACTCTCATTCACCCTATAGCCAATCACAGTTGCTAAATTTTGTAGTAGTTTCAATCTCCACAATATTTCTCTCTATGTCCCTTTCTACCACTCTATTCAGTTCAGGCTTTTTAATCTCTAAACTATTGTAATACCCTCCTAATTATTTCCAAACTCCAAGGGCCTCCCTATTCCAGTCTATCAATCATATAGCTCCCAAAGTGATTGTCCTAAAGTGCAGATCTGACCATGTCACCCTCCCTACTCAATAAACTCCAGGGTTTCCAATTTCCTCTAGGATCAAATATAAACTCTGGCATTTAATGCTTTCTAGAACTTAGCCCCTCCCTATCTTTTCAGTTTCTTTCAATTACTCCCTTCCATGCCCTCTGTAGTCCAAACAGCCAATTTTTTGTTCCTGACCCGAAATAACCCCCTCCTACCTATGTGTCTTCATATCAGCTGTCTCCTACACATGGTAAGCTCTCCCTTCTCATCTTCACTTCTTAGGATCCCTGGCTGCTTTCAAGACTCAGCTTAAACAGTCTCCTTTAGTGGGAGACTTTTTCTAGTCCACCCTGCCCCCGCCCCCCAGCTACTGATGTCTTTTCCTATAATGTTACCTTGTATCTACTGTGTGTATAACTTGTATATACCTATTTATGCACACGTCTCCCTTTAGAATGTAAGCTCCCTGAGGGCAGAAACTATCTTCCCCTTTTCTTTTACTCTCCAACACTTAGCACAGGAGCTAATACACAGTAAGTGCTTAATAAATTAATGCCTATTGTTGTAGATAAATCAATAGGAGGAAATTCTATACTGGCTCCGATTTTCAATAACAGAAGGGAACTGATTGCTGGGGTGCAGCTAATAGGAATTTTGGGGAGAAATGACCACTCTCTACTAGAGTTTATGTATGATGGAATGGAAAACATAAGCACCCATAGGTACCTCACATGTACCCTAGACTGTGGGAAAAGAGATTTCAGTGGGTTCAGAGAAAGGATTGGTAGGATCCCAAGGACTAAAATTATATAGGGGAAATCCCTTCACAAATATAGATCTCTACCAATCTATTACACAAGGGGAATATGATAGCCATGTTTATGTATTTGAAGGCTTGTCAATGTGGAAGAGAGATTAGATTTGTTATTTGTCTTTAGAGGACAGTGGAAGTTACAAAGAAGTAAATTTAAGTTTGATGTCAGGAAAAACTTCCTAACAATTAGAGCTATCCACAAATGGAATGATCTTCCTTGGGAGGTAGTGAGTTCTATGTAAATGGACATCTTTAAGCAAAGGCTGAATGATTGCTTATTGGGTATGTTACAATAAGGAGTACTTTTCACTTCTTGTTTGAACTCTTCCAATTCTAGAACATTGTGATTCTGTAAATAACCTAAGAGCTGATATAATCTTTGGAGGTGATATAGCACCTCCCTCTCCCCATACTTTCCTCTTGCTTTCTGGCAAGACAGCACCTACCTCAAATAAGAAAACATGGTGGCTCAATATTTTTTAAGTCTCCAAGGAAAGCAATTCAATAAAATAGCTTTAAAAGACTAATTTAGCATCTCATAATCCCCACTGTAAGGTTTTTCTGTTTAATAGCCTACAAAACATTCAAGTTTAGTATCATTATACTTATCATCATAAGATCAATAAACCAGTGAACAGGATGATGAAGTATAGCCTATTCTTAAATATTCTATCCAAAAAGAAACCTAGATGATCTAAAGATCACCTTATAGGACTAAATATTCCTTGAATTTTGCACCCTTTACCTTCAATGGAGGACCTAAGCCCTGGCAAGGCTTCCTGAGGATGCCTTAGACCAGAGGTGTCAAACACATTGCTTGTGGGCTCCACAACACTCCCAAGTGCCAGGGAACCAGATTAAAATGGATTTATGTGGTTTTAGTGGTGACACATTAACAAAAAAAAGAAATCTATAAACATAAGTTAAAAATGGCCACAGGGATCCTTATGTATGGTTTACTGGCCTTATTTCTATTTGAATTTGACACCACTGCTTTTGCCCACTGGCAAGCCTGGAACTATATTTGATTTTCCCATATAAAACTGGTCCGGGTAGGAAGAGGAGTATAGGCCACTGAACTCTGATTGAGAAGGCCTGGGTTCTTGGTGAAAAAGGAGTTAAGTTGTATAAAATATTCTTTCATGTGGTATAGAGAAGATATATCTATATAAATCCTATATTGGCATGTTGTTGGTGCACTACAGGAAGAGTACTAAAATAGTATAGAAACTAGGTCAGAATTTTGTTTTTCTTTATTGTGTATTGTTTTTCAGGGTGCTCTCTCAATCAACAAATATTTATAAGCATTTATTCTGTACTAGGCCTTGTGCCAGGCACTACGGGGCATACAAAGAAATTTAAGACCTGTTCTTTGCCTCAAGGAGTTTATAATACAGTTTGGGATGGTATAGACTTGAAAAATTAACATAAAATACATAGATCATTATAATACAAGTATTATGACAAAGTAATACATAACTAATGGAGACCCTCAAGAATATGCCATTGTTTCCTAAAGTCCACCAGGTCTTTCCATCTGGCCTGTTACTATGATCTTCTGACATCCAGGTATCACCATCTCACTTGCCATTACACCCCAAGGATCCCTGAGATTTTTCATCTGGCCTGTCTCTGCACCCTAAGACTGACTGGGTCTTTCTATTTGCCTGGCAGTTGAACCCTCCTAATATGTATTAGCTCCCCTAGTTAGAATGTGAGCTCCCTGAGAGTAAGGATTGTGTTGTTTTTTTTTCTACTTGTATCCCCAGTACTTAACATAGTTTGTAGCTGATAGTAAGCACTTAATAAATGCTTTTCCATTCCACATTCTAACTGCAAGGCACTGTAGAGGACAGAGATGAATAAAGCAAGGTCCTCAAGGAATCTAGCATAGTAGAGGAGATAAGACTGATAACTATCATTCAAGGGAGGTATCACTTATCAGAGTGCCTGACACATAGGAAGCACTTAATAAAAGCTTGTTGACTGACTAAGTGACTTGAGTTTATATTTCATTCATTTGTTCTTCTTAAGATATTACTTTGTAAGCATACTTCAATAGTTTCTTATATGTGGATTCTATTTCTTCAACTACATTGTGATTTCCCCAGGAGCATACTTTAAACAATTTCATGGCATTTAATGAGAGATGTCATTCCTGTGTAACTAGTTCACTGCTCTCCCTTCTCAGGTATAAATTATAACCTACATAAACAGTTCACTTTTATTTTTTTTCTATAGTGATTCCCAAGAGAAGTGATCCACTTGCTTTTTGATATAAATAAAGGATTTTACTGTTGGAGAAGTGTATTGGAAAATCAAAGGACAGTATGTTCCAACCCCGTCCCCCTCACCACTCCATTCAAAGGAGGGAAAATCACTACTCTAAAGCAACTCAAGAAATAATACACAAACTACAATTTACCTTTTTACGAAGAGGTACAAGATTGTTATACTCTTCTATTTCATAATTCTTTCGTTTTGTTGATTTTGGAACTGAAGACTTCTCCTACCAGGATGTAAAAGATGGATATTAATTGAAGATAGAAAGATCCACAAATCCACATATCTGAAAGGTGAAACACAAATTTGGTCATGTCTACAACAGCAAATGGAATATTTCATAGTTGTACAATGAAATTCAAAATCAGGAACATTTGATTATCAAAATGTTTGTATTGCATTGATGGCCAAAATAGTCATTCAGAAAAATATTTCCATTATGTAACACTCATTACTGAAAATATCAGAGGGAAATACTTCAAAAAAATTTCACTAATTCCACAGTCCAAAACAATACCACCTACCCTCCTCCCCACCAGTGATGATAACAATAATTATGATAATTTGTTCACTTCCCTAGACATTTTGGGTGTACATGAATATAGTCCATTAAAATACAATGGAGAATAATATTTTGAAAATAAAAATAATGAAATATTTTCTTTAGATAATCATTGCCCACATATATAGGCTATCTACATTAATACTAACATAGAATTTTGTGTACTTTTGTGCATGTGTGTAAATATGTAGAAATTGTCCAGAACTGTGATTTCATAAATGTAATAAATTCCCAAAGGAGAAATTTCCTCCATTAATTAGGCTGGGCAACCTGGAGTATTAGAGAGTTGTGCAGGATGCTGAAAAGTTAAATTACTTGCTCATGGCCAGACAACTAGTTGATCACAGAGAGGAAGCTCTTGAACCCAGACTTCAAAGCTGGTCCTCTATCCACTACGCAACAATGCTTCTCTTACATTATATTGTGCCATATCACATATTAAGAAAGGTAGCATGATACAGCTAGGAAATCTGAGTTCCAATCCCACTTCTGCATGTACTATCTCTGTGACTTTGGGCAAGCCACTTAATGTCCCAGATGACTCTCCAAGACACTATGTCGCAGAAAAAGTACCTGAAATTCCACGTGGGTATTTGGGAACAGAAGAATGTAACCTTAGGGCTGATATCAGTTATTAGGTAGTTAAAAGATAAACCTTAGAGTGATTAACTAGTTAGTGGGTGTGTGGCAGTTAGATTAGAGAGTGAAAAGGTTTGGGGAGTGAATTTTATGTGAGGAGAAAAGTTTTATCTGTCCATGGTATTTAGCAGTGAGTGGGTTTCAGAGCATATATTACACCTTGGAGACCTGGCTTTGAACTTGGACTAAGTATAAGAAAGATTGTGTCTAAGGGTTGTGCTGTGTCCTGGCTAATAGTATATTCTATCATCCCCTTCCCATGTCCACCCCCAGATACTAGGAGGACATGAGCAATGATGAAAAGGCTGAGATTAGATTTAATTTCCTATAATGTATCTGTGTAAACTGTGGGCTTCTGAACTCCCCCTAATTTCTTTTTGGGAAGATTATCCAGTGGAACACAAGGTGACCTAGGGCACAGAGCATTGTGAGAGTTTATAATAGAATATAACAGATCATAATGTAATATAACATATAAGCAGACACCAACTTACCCATAGGCAATATTCCCAAAGTTTGTAAGCCTGTTGTTTGGAACTCAGAATGCATTTTTCCCATAGAAATAATGTCATAAAAAAAGAGGAGCTGACCTAATAACAGCGATGACCTCATTGGGAAAACAAGGATAATAATATCTTTAACACTTACCTCAAAGGATTATTGTTAGCATCAAATGAAATAATGTACATAAAGTACTATATAAAACTTTAAGCTGCTATAAAAATATTGGTTGTTATTATTTATACGTTACTTTAAGGTCTGCAGGACACTTTACATATATTAGCTCATTTGATCCTCACAACAAACCCTATAGGATAGGTAGTGAAAGTATTATCTCAGTTTTCTCCTTCTATTCCACAAAAGCATAGTTAACTGAGGACGTACCTGAACTATTGTGTTAATTGTATTTATAGTCTTAATTCCCATTTATAATAATGTTTCCATGCCTCCCAGTTATTTTCTTGGCCCTGTTTTCAACAATATTTTTATTAATGACTCATAGGATGGCTTAGATGGAAGCTTAGAAAACTGCAGGTGACACAAAGCTGGGAAGGAGAGTTAACCTATGGGACAACAGGGGCAGGATGTAAAAAGTTCTTGGTAGACTAGAAGGATGAGTGGAAACTAATCAGACTAAAAATAGCAACAAATGCAAAGATCTCAACTTGGGTTTTAAAAAGTCAACAAACGAAGGATGGGGAAAGCATGGTCAGAGGGCAATCCCTGGGGAAGGGGTGCTCTTAGGCTGTAAGTAAGAGTGCCTGATATGTGATAGGCCATGAAAAGATGTGTGTGGGAATGAATTGGAAGTGACATGATACTGTTCTCTAGGCAGACCATGTTTGGAGAATTTTTTTCAGTTCTGGAATACTATTTTCAGAAAGACACTGACAAACTTGAGTGACTCCAAAGGAGGTGACCAGGGGATGGCTTGGGAACTGAAGAACACTGTCTCATATAAGGAACAGTTGAAGGAACTGGGGATTTTTAATCTGAAAAAGGGAAAACTTGAGAGAGAAGGGATAACTGCCTTCAAGTATTTCAATTGGACCCAATTCCACAGATCCTTTAAGTACCTACTATGTGCAACACATTTGGGGATGCAAAGGTTAAAAAAATAAAACTGGCTCTTTTTTTGTTTTGTCTTGTTTTTAATTAACAAATTTATTTATTTTTAGTTTTCAACATTTACTTCCACAAGATTTTGAGTTCCAAATTTTCATCCCATCTCGCCCCTCCCCCCACCCCAAGATGGCATGCATTCTGAATACCCCTTCCCCTAGTCTGCCTTCCCTTCTATTTCTCCCCCCCCCTTATCTTATCCTCTTCCCCTTCTATTTTCCTGTAGGGCAGAATAGATTTCTGTACCCCATTTCCCGTATTTCTTATTTACCAGTTTCATGTGAAAACATTTTTTTTAAACATGTGTTTGTAAAACTTTGGGTTCCAAATTTTCTCTCTTCCTCCCTCCCCACCCACCCTCATTGAAAAGGCAAGCAACTCAATATAGGCTATACATGTGCAGTTATGCAAAACACTTCCATAGTAGACATGCTGTGAAAAACTAACTCTATCTCCCTTAATCCTATCCCATCCCCCCCATTTATTCTATTCTTTCTTTTGACCCTGTCCCTCCTCAGAAGTATTTGCTTCTGATTACCCCCTTTCCCAATCTGCCCTCCTCTCTATCATCCCCCTACTCGCTTGTCCCCTTCCCCCACTATTTTCCTATAAGGTAAGACAGATTTCCATACCCAATTGAATGTGTATGTTATTTCTTCCTTAAGTCAAATCCTATGAGCATAAGATTCACTCATTCCCTCTCATCTGCCCCCATTTCCCCTCCATTATAAGGGCCTTTTCTTTTCTGTTTTTTGTGAGATAATTTACCCCATTCTACCTCTCCCTTTCTCCTTCTCCTAGTATAATCCTCTCTCACCCCTTAATTTTACTCTCCAGATATCACCCCTTCATCTTCAACTCACCCTGTGCTTTCTCTCTCTCTATGTATGTATGTATATATATATATACATACAAATAATTTTTCCCCTCCAACTACCCTAATACTGACAAAGGTCTCATGAGTTACAAATATAATCTTTCCCTGCAGGAATGTAAACAGTTCAACCTTAATAAGTCTCTTATAATTTCTCTTTCCTATTTATCTCTTCATGTTCCACTTGAGTCTTGTATTGGAAAGTCAAATTTTCTATTCAGCTCTGGTCTTTTCCACAGGAATGCTTGAAAGTCCTCTATTTCACTGAATGACCATTTTTCCCCTGAAGGATTATACTCAGTTTTGCTCGGTAGGTGATTCTTGGTTGTAATCCTATCTCCTTTGCCCTCCGGAATATTATATTCCATGCCCTGTGGTCCCTTAATATAGAAGTTGCTAAATATTGTGTTATCCTGATTGTGTTTCCACAATTCTTGAATTGTTTCTTTCTGACTGCTTGCAATATTTTCTCCTTGACATGGGAACTCTAGAATTTGGCTACAATATTCCTAGGAGTTTTCCTTTGAGGACCTCTTTCAGGAGGAGATTGGTGGATTCTTTCAATTTCTATTTTGCCCTCTGGTTCTAAAGTATCAGGGCAGTTTTCCTTGATCATTTCTTGAAAGATGATGTCTAGGCTCTTTTTTGATCATGGCTTTCAGATAGTCCAATAATTTTTAAATTCTCTCTCCTGGATCTATTTTCCAGGTCAGTTGTTTTTCCAATGAGATATTTCACATTGTTTTCTAATTTTTCATTCTTTTGGATTTGTTTTACAGTGTCTTGATTTCTCATAAAGTCACTAGTTTCCAATTGCTCTATTCTAATTTTTAAGGAAGTATTTTCTTCAGTAATCTTTTGGACTTTCTTTTCCATTTGGCCAATTTTGCTTTTTAGGGCATTCTTCTCCTCATTGGCTTTTCGGACCTCTTTTGCCATTTGGGTTAGGCTATTTTTTAAGGTGTTATTTTCCTCAGTATTTTTTTGGGTCTCCTTTAGCAAGCTGTTGACTTGTTTTTCATAATTTTCTTGCATCACTCTCATTTCTCTTCCCAGTTTTTCTTCCACTTCTCTTACTGGCTTCTCAAAATCCCTTTTGAGCTCTTCCAAGGCCTAGGACTAATTCATATTTTTCTTGGAGGTTTTGGATGTAGGAGCTTTGGCTTTGTTGTCTTCTTCTGGTTGTATGTTTTGGACTATTTTTGCGAGGTTTGCTCATGATCCCAACCAATTACTTGAGTTTTAAACTCTTTGTTAAGGTAAGAGTCTGCTTCCAATGTGGAGAATGTACTGTCCCAACCTTTGGGGGTTTATACAGATGTTTTCAGAGATACTTCTAGGGACCTGAAAATTTTCAGTTTTTCCAAGGTGCTATGATAAGGGGCAAGGTGTTTCCTCTCCACTGCCACCATAAGCTCCACCAGGCCAGCACTCCTCCTCACCCCAGGACTACCCCTCAGAACTGTGACCCAGATGCAAGCACGGGCAAAGTAAGAGATTCCTACCTCAGCACTGGCAAAGAGATCCC